ATACATTTTACAAATGTCCTTAGTTAATATACTTTTAAAACTTTGTACACCTATAGGAAAGTGTTCCATGGCTCTCGCAGGCAACTTATTGCAGTGTGTTATTGTTCTACTTGTGAAGGAAAATTTTCCAACATCTGTTCTCTGTGGCCTGAACTGAATTTTGTGCTTGTGATCCCCTCTACTAAAGTACGTGGGTCTGTCGAGTCGAATGAAAATATATTTTCAAGCTGGATAACCGGCATAGCTATGTGCAAATGTGCATATGTGCATAAATCCGATTAAACATAACATCAGTAAATGGTCACCAAATGTCAGCTACCCTCGACGAGAACAAGTGTGTATAACCAGACTAAGAATAGGCCATGCAAGAATAACTTCTTCATACATGTTAAGAAATGAATAATAACCCATCTGCAGCTGCGGAAGTCTTCTGACAGTGAAAAATATTTTGACAGATTGTGTAGATCTCTCAAAACAAATGCGGCATGAGAGGCAACATGAAGGTAGACCTCGAAACCGACAAGACGGCAACTGACATAACATTAAGCTCCTAAAAGAGGCCAATCTTTTCTACAAAATTTAAATAGTATATGCTTAATTTTAATATAAATCAGTAAAAAGGCTAAAGGAATCCGTTGGCCAGCGATCAAACTAATAATAATAGTAATAAGAATAACAATATTAATAATTATTATTATTATGTACAATAGACTCTCTTTGGTTGTCGGAAAAGCTTGTAAGGCCCTGCACTACAATCTCTGATGCAACTCAAGGAACGAGAATCTAAAGAGGAAAATCACAGTAGAGACTGATGCGACATGAGTTTAATAACCCGTTACTGACAAGGCGAGCGCAGAGGTTGGAAGAACGTAGGGACAAGAGGTTTCGTTTAACAGTATGTTACTAGTTAGCGAGATACTAAAACATTGAACAGTTTCACAATTGTTAACGTTTTCAAGCTCATACACTTCCATCGTTTAGAGGGCCGGCCTCCCAAGTTTTAGAGGCCTCGCATTCCATTCAACAGAACCATATCTTAAATTTAGTTTCTCTTGGAGTGCTACCTCCGTTTGCCGTACATGTGTTGTCATTCCCAGAGGACCGTGTGGGAATGTAGGCAACCCGTCGGGCATTTGTGCGCTGTGTGCGGTATGCAATTTGCTGCTGCAGATTTACTACACAATTGCCTCCGAGAAGACGAATATTTTCTCTTCAAGGAAGGCAGTAGCTCTTTTATCGTATTACGAAATATTGAAGTGGCCCCTACCATGATAAACAGCGCGCTGTATTTTTTATCCTTTGGGGTTCATATCCCATTCGATATTGTTAGGGTTTATGATGTGCAAAGCGGTTTCGCGGCCATCATCATTAAACTTCTTACTCACCACATAATGTCTCACATCATCACCACGATCGTCATTATCATCACTGCGAGTAAAACATGTTTTGCAGATAGTTAGGTTTCTCAGATGACGATAACTAACACATTTGTGTGTACGTTACCGAAAAAAATGTTTATAGACCCATGATGTGAAAAATAACAAATGCCGAAAATCTTGTGTTTAAAAAATGGCATAATTACATGTTCACTCAGAAATATTCTAACGTACGAAATCAAGTTCTTCTCAATGCTGTCTCTTGAATGTTATTTGCCATGTTGTCACGAAAATGGAAAATCAACGATATAAGCCTGTTTAATAGCCTAACACAAAGCTTTTAACATTTATGGCCAAATTAATTGTGTGCACATAGCACTCGCCCCTTGTATTCGCGTTCAGGCAATAAGAAATTTAAAAAAACTTGCATATACGTTTCGTTTAGGATGTCTACTTCTATTGAAGAAATAAAGTATTCCAAAAGAAGCTAATTTGAGTTGACAAGAAATGTGCGTTCCCAAATAAGGACGTAGGTTGTTGGTGAGTTAAAAATACCTTTGAGAATGTAAGTACTGCAGATTCTGACTCTGATATCTCAGAAGACAGGCATTTTTCAGAGAAAAAACCTGCAACATGTCGCAAACGACGCACCAAATTTTACGCACTCGTCCTTATCAAGTCCATTTTCTCCAACAGTCGCATCGTGGATAGATTCTTTAAATTGGAGAAAGCGACAGGGAGGCGATATGGGAAGAGCAGTCTCCATTGAAAGGCTTTCCCTTCTCTCTCTACTGGCCGCGGCGCCATCGCCGCTCTCTCCACACACCTCGCCCTCAGCCCCGTGCCCAGCCGCTTCCCTGCCTCGCAGTGGCAGCCGCGATTATCGATTGCTTGGTTTCTTATTCCAGGTCCGTCAACTGCTAAGGTCATGAGTTCAGTAAGTGTATTGCATGTTTCCATCGCGGAAGGTAGCGGCGAACGTCCCACGCTGGACAGCGAGATTCGGCGCCGGCCTACCCGTTCGCTCGCGAGGTTTTCCCAACCTGGTATTTCCCATCATCGGAGTGCCACCATAGCTGTAACAAGCTCTAAGTTCGTGTATAAGGAAGTCGTGGGGACAGGAAAAGGAAGAGAAAGGAAAGATCTCGTGCTGTCCATGGCCCGTTTGTTAGCGTTTGGTAGGGCCCTGGCCTGGTATTAGACGGAGAAAGCATGGCAAAGTACCGATCAGACTAGCCGACCGGTAGGAACATTTAAGGACTTTTAATTCTATTAAAAAACAGGAGGGAATAATGACGGCAAGCATTTGAATAATATGAAATCAATTAAAACGTCAAGTAAGGATCCCGTTTCACATTGTAAAAGAGAAATAGCGATAATAATAACTTTTTCATAGGTTCGAGGTTTTTACTTTTACGTTTTTCCTGTTTCAGTAGGGAGATCATTTAAGGCAATAAAGACCCAAAGAAAATACATCGCTCATAATCATTTTCATAATAATGAAAGAGCATCTCACATAAAAGAAGTGTGTATAAACACAGGGGTGAATAATTATAATGTCAAGAATGTTACGATCTAGAATCTTGTGAAACCATTTAGCAGAGCTACAAAAGGAACTATCTTTACCATACAAAAAAGAAAAGAGACACATTTAAATCGTGTGTGTTTTTATGTATTTTATTGTTTACGTTCTCTGTGAATGTTATTTAAAATATGATAAAAAATGATCAAGATTTTAACAGCAATAAAAGAAGAAAATTGTTTTGTGAAGGTATCAGATATTGGTATTAGATATTCAAACTCGCTGTTATTTTGATATGTATGGGCACTATTGAAAAAACTAAAATAATTTTATTTTGTCCACGAGTATATGTACTAAATTTAAAAGTAATTCTGTGCCATTTCGGCTCATTGGGTGGAATCATTCTAAGCAAGCATGCACTTCTAAAAAAACAGTATGGATACAGATATGTGGAAGTATATTAAAGCAATTGCCCTCTGTTCCAAATATTAAATTTCGCTTACCAAATGATAAAAGTCATAACTGATTTATCTAAGAACTGAAGTAAAGACACCTTGAACATCATTAATATTTGTGTCCAAATTACGCGTTTTGTTAATACTTTCCGCCCCAGAATTCCTTAAAATTCATAAAGAGTTTTTAAAATGAATTTATTGATATGATGATATTGATTTATTGATTGAAATGATAAAAATAATCAACGGAAAAAATGGAAGTGAGCATGTGATCTTAATCACTGGGAAAGAAAATGAAAAAAGGGAAGAAAATAATTCAATAATGGGGAATAAAAAAGACGATAGTGACAGGAATGTTGTGAAGGTTCACAGGACGCAGACAATGATGAATAAAATTTAAGTATACTTCAAGAAGAGGAACTAAAATTTTTAGCACATTCAGTTTACACAAATTGAGGAAGCGTACACTTGGTAGATTACATTAAAAAATCAAGATAAGTTTTTCCTTTTCAAAAACGCTATTTTTGAGTAAAAATTGTCGGTACTCCCCTCGATGAATGGTATGTGTTGTGGAAATTATCTATACATATTTAATTATACATAATAACTTTAACAGTGGAATTCAGTTTAAAAAATGATTCATTAATAAAATATTAGAAAGTGAATTAAACTGGTTTTTATTTGCATTAAAACTTCATCTCTTGGATGCAAAGATGCTTCAGTGAAAGTTACATAGCTGACTGTCCATTTAAAATTAAAGTCTAGGTTCACATAACCTTTTAAAGTGTGTTGAGTGAGTTCACGATGTAAAGATCACTTGACAGGTTACATTTTCTAGTGGTTTCATTTTATACGAAGCATGCTTTCGATCAGATCAGCCCGTTCATCCACACAAGAGGAAGAGGTTGAATGGACTGTCATACTCATAACAACAGAACATGCAGGTTATTATCGATCCTTGAAACTTGCTTACGTCAAAAGAGGATCAATTCATTTGAGAAATGAAATGCTCAATAAAATGAATTTCGTAAATTACATTGATCGCTTGTTATCTGCAATAGTTAATAGTTTTAGCATATGCATTTTTGTTTCTAAACAGTACATTTTAATGAATATTTCATATTTTTGTCTTGCTACTCTTGTTCAGCGTTTTATACTTTTTTATTGTGTTTAAAACTCATTTTTAAAATATCTGTACTGCCTGATATATTTTATCTATAATTTATTTTTTCTATTAACAGTTTCACATTTTAAATAATCATTTGTAGGGTGATATTTAAATTTATTCGAATATTTTGTTTGAAAAGGGTTGGCAAAAATACGTCATCTCCCAGAGGTACATTTAGAAATTAATAATAATTAATTAAATAATTTAATTAATTTACTTTAGATTGAAATTTATTGGAGAGGTTTGAGAATAATTTTATGAAAAATATTGAATATTTTTATAAAATAATTTTTTGGACAAATGTTTCGTGTTATCTTTAGATGCCAACGTTTGTTTTTTTTAGTTTTGTTCTACGTTTATTGTGTTGAAAAATTCAGATTATCAAAGTATATGCTCTGAAGGCGCTTTTAAAGTTAAAGTCGCTTCGAGAAACACTCAAGACGGTTATATGTGTAATAAAATGCAAAATGTTCACTTACGAATTCTTTTTCTGGCCTGCAGATACGCCTGGTTGACGGCGTCATAAGTGATGCACGTGTGCTGGCCACCATAACCACTGTAACAGAAAAGATGTGACGTCACGCAAAAGAAAATTATGTGAGAAGAAGCACACCAGCTGGAAACATGATATTAAAAATGTGTCAACAAACAAAATCCTTAACTGCATGTTCGGGCGGGCGTGTTCTTCCAGTTGCAACGATCTGATAGCAGCTACTCCTCTTTTCGTGCTCCGCGGGACAAAATAATACGCAAGAGTCGATGCGAATATTTTAAACCACGCATGTTATTCTAGATGTAAAGTTCACACTCATACGCGTATAAATTTAACATAGAAAGAAAAGTAAGTGCAATTAAAACATCGTTTGCATAAACTATAAAACATTCATTATATCCTGCCACTTGTAGACATAAAATGTACCCATTTGTCATGGGAATGACAAAAATAAAAACAGATATACGGTTATATAGCATTGCTCCAAATAATATTGTCATACAAAGCCGAATTAAGGGTGTGTATCAATCGAAAAGAGTAACATGTACAAAAAAAAAGTATGTAAATCAGAACGAAATACATATTCAGAACTATTCATTGATTTTGTGACTAACACATAGATCACTCCAGGTGTGATAAATACTTAGCGTCATAATGAGCGATGCACATTTTAAAATAGAAATAACAGAATAGTATATGTAAAGTATTGTATGAAGATAAAGTAATAGACAACTCGTTAAACATTTTGAACTTTGATGGCATTTTTTATTTTCATCACATAATTTTCACGAATCATCAAATTAGTTGTATTACAAGAAATACATTTGACACATGTATTTTTCGATTGTTTCAGATTTTCAGTTTTGCATAATTTTATTTTTATTTGAAACTGATTATATTCTATATATATAAACTGCAATTGGTAGACTTATGTGGATGCATTTAATGTGAGAGTATATTTATTGCGAATCTTCTGTGGGGAACACTAAACGTTTAACCTTTTCCCAACATTGAGCTAACTTACTCCTTAACAAGAAGCCATGAAAGTCAATTTAATGGCAGTCATTTTTTTAATTTTGGAAGAATTGGTGAATTGAAAATCTTTGAAATACTGAATTAGCATTTTTATATTTTGGATATTTTCTTTGTCTTTGTATTTTAGTATTAATATTGATAAATTGTAGCTGCAGATGTACAAATGTTCATTATTCTTAAAGAAACATCTTTACATAATTATTAGGAGATGAAAATTCCTATATTTTGACATACATTTACTTACGAAACATTACTTGAAAGGTGATGGCCTCTAAGCGTCAACTAGGAGGCGGATCGCCCCTAGCACACATACTCACACGTACGCAGTAACGGATGTTGTGGATGACAGATCGATAGTCGTACTTCGTACACCTTGTATCTTCCACATGTCATGTACGCAGCCTTCCATCTAACAGAACACGGCTCTTGACACCAAAGACGTTTCTACTGGTGTCCAACTTGTCCACCGGATCTCGGTTATATATAATTCACCGAACAACCCTTTTTAGGTCAAGCCTCTCCGTTCGTTTCAGGAAGTAACACAATTTCTTCAAGCGCTGAAGCCTCGTCTAGCGGCATCTGATGACCAGAACAATCCGCATTCTCGGGGAGTGCGCACTGCAACGGAAAGTGCATCCAGTCGGTTCCGCCGGCAATAAACAATAAGTGCGGGCGCCCGGAGCGCTCCCTGCGGCGAAAGCCACTCCCCCCCCCCGGCTTCTTGAGAGCATCGCGAACGCCATCTCTTCCGCACCGCCCTCGCAGCATTGTGGAGGCAGAGCGGTGCAGAATGGTCACGAACACGTAGTAAGGGAAAAGGAAAATTCTTAGGAAAAAGACTTCAAGGCATGCAGTGCAAGTTAATGCAGTTCACTAATTGTGCAAGATGCCTCATCGGGTGTACTGTAATGGTTTGTGGGTGATGAATAGTTGGTATACTGTATTCGAAAAAATGCATTGTCAACTTTTTTGGATTAGTTTATCGGTTTTCAATGGCTTAACCATCATCAACATTATCAGATATGTTCTTTGGAAGCAAGGAATTCGACTATCTTCTAAATTATTACTTATCTGCTAGTAGTATTTATCCCTTCCAGACAGAACATCTGATGATGATGGTTAAATCATCTAGAGCTGCCAATCAAATAAAGAAAAATATTGGCAATGACAACACCATTTATTCAAATATTCGGTTGTAAAGCACTAGTTTTAACATCGTATCATTTTAGAATATTATTACTAAAACTATTATTACTATTTTTATTATTATAATCAATGATTTTCTTATAATACTTATTAACATACGAACTCGTGTTTTCAAGTTATTGTTTTTGAGAATGTAATTTTGTACTGGAACCGAACTTCCAACCTTTCTAACAACACGTGCTTCGGACTGGAGATATCTTCTTAAACCGTAATGGACCGTGCCAGAGGGTCTTATTTTCTAGTCCACTGCATAAGAAATATATATTTTTGTCTTCTTTTTCCTCAATCCGAACCATCGTGCACCGCCTGCCTCCCGGGAGAAAAAGTGGCAAGGCGCCTTCGTCAGCCGAAGCGAGGGAGCCGTGGCCCGCGACTATCTGCCGTCGCTGCCCGCCGCGCGCCGGACTTCGGGCAGCGGCCGCCGCCTCGTTCGTTACACTTTCCACTGTTTCTTGGGCGCAGAGCGGCGTCGTGGTTGCGCCTGGGCGGGGACGCGCAGAGTTGGCGTATGCACGGGACCGGGCGACGGAGGGTGGACGGAGATGAAACGGTAGAAGGGGTACCGAACGGGGTGGGTGTAGACGGATGCGAGAAGGGGGTAGGAGGAAGGGGGTGGACGAGTAGACGGTAAATGGCGGAGCGGTACCCTAACAAACGGACCATGGACCGCGAGCGAATTTTCCCTCCCATTTCTTGTCTCATCCTACACCTTACTTACACACACACTTACATGCACTACACTACCACATATGTCGGAAACCGGTCGGGAACTTAGTCCTTGTCCCGGCTGGGGTGGTGCCGCTGGTGGGAGAAACCTGGTCGGAGAATCTCTCGTAGTCGACGTAGATCGGCACCGGATCTCAACATCCAGGGTGAATTATTACCGACACCTCCCCACGATAAAACGTGCATTACACTTGCGGGGCTTATTGCCTTAGTCGTTGACGCACCCGGAATCATTAATCAACCAAACAAGGAGCGGATAAACATGGTTGTGGGGGTTGAAGACGAACGTGGAGTAGTGTGGAGGGAGTGTGGTCACGGTGGACGGAATCAATCGGGGCAAGCATATTGTGCAGTCAGAGCGGTTAAGCTCAAGGAGATCGGGGCAGTAGTGGTGTGTCGTGGTGGACGGGGGTTAGGAATCGATGATCGGTGCCCGTCTGTGTGTGTTTGAGGGGGAGGGCGCGAGCGGAAGCGGGCGGGGACGCGCCGAGGAAGGCGCGGCGGCGCAGCGCTTGTGACGCCTCACGAGATTCCCCGGTGGCCGAGGCGGGATGAGCCGGTCAGCGGCGGCGCGGCCGGTTGGCGGCGACCGGCGAGAGCGGGGCGGAGAGAGGGTCGAGCAGGCGCGAAAGCAAGTGGGCGGGCGGTTCTTGTTCTGGGCGTCCGCGGTTCGAGCCCAGCTTTCCAGAGCAGCGGAGCGTGGAGCTGCGCGCTGCCCTCTGCGCCTGCGCCTCTTCCGCCTGCGCGCTGCGCACGCCGTCACGCGCAGCCACCCGCTACCCGCGGACACCGGCGCAGCGACTGCCCGAGTTTCTCTGGACAGACGCTGGAACGCATTCCGGTTCTGTTCTCCATTTAAGACGAGAGAACTGTTGGTTACAGTGGGGACCCTTAACGAGTATTAGTTTTGATCCTCTGCGCATACGCAACTCGAACAGCGCATGCACGGTCCTGGAAGGTACATGCTTAGGTGCTTCACTCAACGCAAAATGTCTCTAATGATGGAAGTTTACAAAGGCTCTCTCCACCATATGCAACTTTAGGATTCAGCGAGCGGCCCCAAATTGTAAATTCTTTACCAGTCCATCGCCGATCGCTAACATACACATGACGCTCTGGTGCGTCAGCATTGAAGTGCTCCACAATAATCTTCCTATCAAAGACATCAACAAAGTAATAATCTTCGCGATTCCAAAATATAAAATCACTCAAATTATCCCGCAATCAATCTCGCAATCAATCCGCTAGACAAAAGAGAAAAAAACTAGAAGACAAGGGATACAAACCGCTAGATATAACTATGAATTTGTTAGAAATGCTACCAATGAAAACATTTCCGTTCGTGTGCATTTATTTCACAATTTTACTAATATTTCTCTAGAAATAAATTAAAAAATGAAATACGAAAAAAATTGAAAATGAGACTGTATAAAAAGAAATACCCAATACTATTACGTATAATAACAACAATAATAATAATAATAATAATAATATTATATTATTATTATATATTTTTATTATTATTACTTCACAAAAAATTGTTGTAAATGTACATAGTACCGAGGGCTTTAGAATAAATACCAATAGCAATCGACATTAAATTAACGTACAATTCGGATAGCGAGGAACATACCGGTTACACCAGATCACGAGATCACCTTCAATTGTAACGGTATTTCGTATTATCACAGGTACACCTGTAACATTACGATATTTCTATCATCTGACGTCATCAGCAATAAAGGCCGTTACGCGTACGTGTGCGTAGCGCCTCATGACCTCCTTATTTGGCCTCCGAAGACGGAGTGAAAACTCATTCCTATATGGCATCTAAATAACTTTCAATTTGACCCATTTAACTTACTTTAAAAATTTAACTTGTTAACAAATACAATTGAAAGCACGGTTAATATTTTTATTTTGTCTACTTTTGTAACTTGCTGTAGGTTTCTACGTTCCTGAAAATTATTACAGTATACATTAACAAGTAGCATGTCTTTACAAATGTATCATTTAACATTTTTCTTGGTCCACTTTATAACGAAAAAATATGTTACCTTAAATTAGCTATATAAAGCGCGAACCCTCAGCTGCTT